TCTTGTTGCCAGGCATCTCACAGCATCTCATGTGGCACTAGACATGGACAACTTACCTGAGGCAGGCAGCAGAGTCAGCTCAGCACAGAAAGGACATGGACCTGTTAGGACAGGGCCAGAGAAGGCCACGAAGATGCTCTGAGAGCTGGAGCTCCTCTGCTGCCAGGACAGGCTGAGAGAGTTGGGGGGGTTCAGCCTGGAGAAGAGGAGGCTCCAGGGAGACCTTAGAGCCCCTTCCAGTCCCTAAAGGGGCTCCAGGAGAGATGGGGAGGGATTCTTGATCAGGGAGGGGAACAATAGGATAATGGTTTAAACTGAGAGAGGGGAGATTGAGATTAGATCTCAGGAAGACCTTCTTTGCTGTGAGGGTGGTGAGAGCCTGGCCCAGGTTGCCCAGAGAAGCTGTGGCTGCCCCATCCCTGGAGGGGTTCAAGGCCAGGCTGGATGGGGCTTGGAGCAACCTGGTCTGGTGGGAGGTGTCCCTGCCCAGGGCAGGGGTTGGAACTGGATGATCTTTAAGGTCCCTCCCAACCCAAGCCATTCTATGATTCTATGATTTTATCACAGAATGAGTCAAATGCCCCAAAGGCTCTTCCAAGGCAGCTCAAGTGCTTTGATTGGCCCCACACACCTGTATCTCGACAATTAAATGTATGATCCCGAGCTGGATCCCACACACGGATCCTGTGGGAAGCAGGGGGACTGCAGCTCCCTCATCTCCCATTAAACTCACCACCGTTGCTCCTGGCTTTGCTGAGGTGGAACCAGGTTACTCACCACCGTTGCTCCTGGCTTTGCTGAGCTGGAACCAGGTCCTGCCCACGCGGTACCTTTAGATATTCATCAGAGAACTCGTGAGCTGCAGCAACCAGCTCCGGCCAGGGGACGTTTATAAGGCTGGGGTTAATACTCTAAATTTTAATACTCTAATTTAATACTCTAAATTATTCACCTGGAGGATCTAACTGCCCAGCCCGGCATCAGCCCATCGCCCGGGAGACAATCCTTTCCTTCACAGGCACAGCGTGTCAGTGTATCCCACCTTATGTACTTACTGGGGATTTGAGCAGTTTATTTTGAAGCCCGAGGCACGCACCGATCTCAGCGTTAGCATTTTACGCAAGCTCACAGAAAAATAGTCAGCACATCGGCCATCCAAGCCCCAGGGAACAAAGGGCTCCATTGAGATGCCTGGAGGCAGGCATCTGGTGCCATTTGAGATGCCCCGAGGCACCCAAGGTACACACAGTGGGGTTGGCAGGTATCACACGGGACCTATGGAAGCAGCAGCTGGAGATGGCAGAGACCACGCAAGGACACCCCCAGGGCGGCTCAAAACGGTGCTCAATGCCAAAGTATAAGCAACTGAATCCGAGTTCTTAAAAAAAAAATAAAAAAATAATCTTGTTTATGCTGCAGTCAGCCACACGTCTCCCGCGTCTAACGAACGGGCACCTCGCAGAGCAGCCCAGCAGGAAAGAGAGCCACAAAAAAGAACGGCATCCTCCTGTTGGGTCTCGTGGAAGCACCTAATGTGATGAGCACGTAATGCTTGCTGAACCCCAGGAGCTGTGGTGGCAGCAGCAACCTCTGCCCCTCGCTGAATTCTCCCTCTCAGCCTCTGCCTCCGTGTCTGGAACCCAACTTCTGCAGCCGGGAGCCACCGCCGCCTGCCAGCCAACGGGGGAAGCTAAAGAATCACAGAATCTTCTAGGTTGGAAGGGACCTCAAAGATCATCTTGTCCAACCGTCAACCTGACTGACAAAAATAGACACCCACACAACAAACAAGAAGCATCATCACTAAACCAGACCTCCCAGCACTACATCAACCCGTCTTTTGAACACCTCCAGGGATGGTGCCTCAACCACCTCCCTGGGCAGCCCATTCCAATGGCTGAGAACCCTTTCAGTGAAAAAATTTCTCCTAATATCCAGCCTGAACCTCCCCTGGCGTAACTTGAGGCCATTTCCTCTTGTCCTGTCACCTGTGACTTGAGAAAAGAGACCGACCCCCACCTCTCTACACCCTCCTTTCAGGTAGTTGTAGAGAGCAATAAGGTCTCCCCTCAGCCTCCTCTTCTCCAGGCTGAACCCCCCCAGCTCCCTCAGCCTCTCCTCATAAGACTTGTGCTCCAGAAGAGAGGTGCCTGCAGAGATCCACCAGCTGGGAACCAGTGATGGGGCCATCAGAGCAGAAGGTCATTGTGTCCGGGTCTCCTTGGCCACCGCGATGAGAGCGTGCTCCTGGCTAAGCCTCTTACCAACACCTGCGCTCCCACGAGGGAGAAACACCTCTAAGGACTTAAATCCAGTTTTTATCAGCTGTGCACCACAGAGAGGCTGGGACGGCACCACGGCTCTTCACAGGACAAGAGCACACAGGTCTTCCATCTGCAGTCAACAAATCTGGGATCCCACGAAGGCTGCGTACATCCTTCTGGAATTCTGACCTCAGGATCCAGCATCAAACTATGTACTTTTCAGCTTTTCCAGCAATTAGTGTTAAATGAGCGTGACTAGATGGGTTACTAATTTTCTGGACTATCAGCAAGGAGCACTGACGTGATTTTTTTTGCCCTAGAAGTAGTTACTTCAGAGTGAAACAACAGCTGCCCAGGTTAAATCTGAGAACACTCCTCCTCGCGTTTTTTTGCATAATCTAATCAAGAGATCTAAGTGGTTAAAACGCGGAAAAATCTGGCTTGTCTCTGGATTTCATTATTAAGGACTTCGGTGAGAGGCAGTTATTTGTGTGTAACAGCACACACCTTCCCCCCCGACCCAGAACTATATGTCATTTTTCCATAACACACTCTACGCCGCCACGGGTTACACGAGCAGACACTGCCATCTAGGCTGGCTTCAGGGAGAGGCACTTATTTCCTTTTTTAGAACACTAATTGCCTTTGCCAGGGGAAAAAAAAAAATAATAAAAAAAAAATCTATTATCCAAAACCGAGGAGAAAAGAACATCTTTAACGCTATTAAAAAAAATGACACATCACCACTCACTGAACATAGAAAACCTGCCCCTCAGCGAGGCTGTAGTACTCCACGTTAGAGCAAATATTTTCTATAAAAATATATTATTCTGTATTTCCATACACGCTCCGCACTAAACGGCAGTCTGCTTTCATCTATGAAAACCGCAAATACAAAGTATATAGTATTAAGGCTATTAATTACCAGAGTACACTTTACTACAGCAGGACTATAATTGTATGTTTTATATGCTTTGAAATATACTAACAATACATTTTAAGACAGTTACTAAAATATCTATTGATTTTCTACGAAGAGAGAAATAATTTTTACAACCGTTTTTCTTCATAAAACCAAAATAGTTTCCATCCAGCACCAAAAATATAAAATACATAATGCATCTATCTTGCTTAAAACAATAAACAAATTCTATTCTTCTTACAGGAGACTTACAGACACAAGACTTGTCTAATAACGTCATTTTGATTAGAAACATTAACAAACAGCTCCATTTTCAGTTCTGTAGGCAATGTATGAACTATGGGCATGGGATCGTACGGAAATTGGTAGCAGGACCCGAAAAGATTACAGTTTAGCACCTTCCATCCCTACAAGTCCTTTGACCGTGGGTTTTTGGATGGAGCTCTGCTGGAGGACAAGCATCACCCCACGTTTCACCCAATGAAACCCAAGACAAAGATGCTCCCGAGGTTTGGGTGAGTGAGATGAGAGAAGCCCTGAGAAGGACATCCCTTTGAGATGCCGACGCGTGTGACTTGCGACCCATCATCAAGGGTTCTGTCCCAGAAGCCAGGTTTCCCTTGGATTTTGGTGGATCTGCCCGATGAACAACCTCCCCAGATCATCAGAACGGGCAACAGAGGAACAAGGGGGCAATATCCCCTGAAATTCCTAGTGAAGTTATTCCTCAGCTTCCTCCCAGGGGTGTTTCAGCCATCACCTTGAGGACCGCTCTGAAAAGGTTTGGGCACAAAGTTTATTCCTCTTTCTCCCTCCAAGATCCCCCTGAATAACAACAGCAATGTGGTCACCTGGCCACCAGCACCCATCTCCCCCTCCCCTCCTTCCCCCATACAATAAGAAGCGACGCAGCGTGAGATCGATTTGCACAGAGAGAAAAGCAACCAAAAAAAAGCCTAGGAACTGCTGAATTCACACTTAATTTAGGTGGTGGAAAAAACGAGCAGAGCTGGTACCAAAGGAATTCAGCAAGAAGCTTTGAAACTACTGTGCTGGAAGAAGATCTGCTGCCCTTTGAGGAGTCCTGGAATGTAGGACAAGAGAGGATAATTTTCGCAGCATCTTCGCCGAGTCCTTGGCTTGTCCTACGGAAAAGAAGGGCATTTACTGAAAATTGAGCAAACCTCCACTGAGCCCAGCAGCTCTCAGTCTGAAAGGCTGGACTCCTTTTTGCACTTAGGGATGTTCGGCGCCCTTTATGCTGGCACAGGAAAAAAATAAACCTTCAGATTTCATTTTACAGTAGAGACTTTTCGGGTAGTTTTGCATTTCTGTGCCCTCACCAACAGCAAAGGGTACGTGAGCTGCCTCCTCTCCCACCGCTGCCGTGAACACCTCAGGGCACTGTTACCTCTTCTCCACAAATTTTTGGCAAGTTTTGCACCATTTGCTCAGCAGCAGAGACGTTCCATATCCAGAGGAAAAATGACTAAACAAAGATATTGCAGCAAAGACGTAAAGATGGAGCCTCTCGTCTATGGCAACAAAAAAAAAATACCTCCTCCTTTCTCAAGAAAAATGGAGTTTTCATTTCCCTTTGCAGAAAGGAAATCAGTGCTGGGGACTATTCCACAAGAAGCCACTCAACTGGAAGACAGCAAATGGCATTGGTTAAAGAAGGTGTCACCCAGAGCAGACCCCCCCCACCCCGGGCTGGTCTGACTGCCCAAGGTTTATTTTGTTGAAAATACAGTCACATTCAAATAACTTTTTTGGGTTTTCCCAAAATAGTAATGAAACCCAGAGACAACACGTGCATAATAAGTTTTATTGAATAAAATCCCACTGCTAATATTTACAGGGTGAAGTTCAGAGGTGTAACCTAGCGAAGCGTGGCCGTTGGTAACATTCATACCGCATCTGCAATATCTTTAAATACATCTGAAACTACTGGCTATTAGCAATCACCTGCCCATCGCTGATTTCCTAATTAAGGAAGATTTGAACTCGCTGGAGAATAGCCAAGAAGAATATTTAAGGGTAACTGAGTTCAGAGCCAACAGTCCGCTCCGTGAATCCCAAACCCAAAGGATCCCCGGAAAGTGTCAAGAGTTTGGAAGGCGGTTTCCGCAGTTCCCCGTCGCTCTTCTCATCTCTGCAGAAGAAGAGGACAAAATAAATTACAAATCTTGAGGCTGAAAGTGATATCCTCAACTCAAACACCCCGTGGTAATCTTCCTTTTTCAAAGGGGTGTGAAAACTACAACAAAACACTTATTATGTATTATAAACTACATCAAATTCTTAGAGCTGCCGAGGTAGACGCCCAGGAGTTAGCAATGCTCCAGATGATACCAAGCACCAAGACAACACTAATTACCACCATTTATGCAAAAATGTTGGGATGGAGTGTCTGCCATCCCACTCTAGAATCTTAAGCAAAGTGTTCTGTGTCTTTTTTTAAAAGCTCTGCTTTTAAAAACTAGATATAGTGAGATAGAGATACTATTGATCTACCATTACAGTGGAGAGGGGGCTTGTAAAAAAACTATAGTCAATACCTTTCCTATTCAAAGGGGATTTTTTAAAGGTAATTTTGTTATTCCTGATCTTGCATGAATTCTCAGGGAAGTTTGAAGCACAGACTTACAACACCCCCTCTAACAGACCCACAGCACCAGCAGGCTGTTTTATCTCACACTTGGGCTACTCAATCATGTGAACAAGCCATGATTCACTGGCCATTTGCACGATTTTTGCCATCCAGCAGGAAAACATTATAAACCAGGAATTCTGTCTCCTACTCAAGCCTCTGGGGGCAAGAAATGATCTTGCACAGTCTCTCACATTTCATTTTTTAAAAAATTTTTAAAATTTTATTTACCAAACAGGGAGAGGAACTCGATATTTTACTTTATGTTATATAAAAAATATATGTGGCTGTTTTCTGCTGTTTCTTCTTTTATGCCCCTCCCCTCTAAATGAACAGCCAGACGCCGTTCCATCTCTCCAGGAAATGTATATCCATCCTAATCTCACTCCTTCTACGCCGTTCCATCTCTCCAGGAAATGTATATTCATCCTAATCTTGCTCCTTCTTTTCTCTTTATCTTTTTTTTCCAACTACAAAGAGTGATCTGGGATGCAGCTGCCTACCTGGAAGCTATTTCTCTCAGAGCCAACACGGCTATAAATTTTAATAGCTAAGAAGCTGCTGAAAGGCAGAGATTTTGGTCTCCCCTGTCTGATGGGTGAGGGGTAGAGGATGCACTGCCAAAAGCTGCCTTTGAGCTGAAAACCATCCGTGCTGTCAGTCTCAAGATCAGAAACTCTGCACGTGTGAGACACCATCAACATAAATAAAACCAAATTTACATTATGATAAGGGTAAGTTTAGAAATAATTGAGTGTGGCATCCAGCTCAAGACACTGTATTCGCCTCGGCCACAGAGCAATAAGTTAATTTGGGTGGCTGAGAGGACCCTTTCTGGCTACGAGGTCCCTTTGTAATTATTACATTTAATAAGCTTAGTTCAACTCAGAGAAAATGCGGGGACAACCGTCACGAAAAAGGCAGCATCTACCACGTGCTCTGCAAACCAGATCAGAGCATTCTTCAGTGTTAAGTCTAAAGAAATGCTCCGGTGTGTGAATAATGGGTGATTTGGGGGAAATATTGTAAGGGGAACTACGCTACTTTTTGGAGACACTGCCTTGCTGGTAGAGTTCCTGTGTCACATACAGGAGCTCCACCGTCAGCTACTGAGGAAATGAAAGAGAGTCAAATGCAAGAAGTCATCCTGAGAGTAAGTACCTATAAAAATGAGATAAACATTAAGGTTTTGACAACCTTCTATCTGTAAATACAATTCACAGCTTAACGTGCGGGTAAAATGGACACAAGAGGGCGCCCCTAATTTAGGGCCCACCTTGGTCCTCCTGTTTTGGAGTCAACAGCTAGAACTCCCCGAGGACCCATCACTGGATCTCCTTCTTCCAGAGGAAAATGGGACAGCTGTTTTCTGCTTTTCTTTTTACTTCAGATGGGCAAGACCCATCAAGACTCAACCTCAAGAACTAGGTGTCTTGACTCAATTAATTAAAGGAAATAGAGAATACAAGGCGCCGACAAATTTCCTGTTAAACTTTGGCCATTAAAGACCAGAAGTTCTCCCACAGCAACGCACCATATTACATCCCGGTTGGCCACAGCACAGTCTAATGCTACTTAGTATTACATTACAATGAAACAAAGACAAAAGATGTCTATGATTAATAGACATCTAATAGAAATAGATATTACTTCACAAGGGCAAATACAAATCTTCAAGTACAACCAAATTAAAGAAAATTTCTTTTTAGAATACATATTAAATATAAGCCTTGTAATTGTATTTGAACAGAACTGTAAGACACCACAGATAATTCATGTATTTCCAATGCTCCGTGTATGTTTGCAATTCACTGCCTGTATTGGGTGTAAATTTGGCTTAATCAGTACCTTGCAGGATTACAGGCCACCAGCAAGAGTGAAAAATTATACAATTTAACACTACGGTTTGCCTAAAAAATGGTTGTAAGTCTTCCATCATAGGTGAAAATATATTCTGTGCAGTACTCTTCCTTTCACCTTCCACTTCATTTTCTTTTCACTTCTCAGTACACAAGACAATTAATTTTCAGATTGATTAAGCAAGGTAATTAATTTAAACCCTGACTTCGATGGTGCTACTTAAAAATATTCAGCTGCTTTTAAGACCGAAGGCCCAACACCATAAGAGGCCATTCTTGTTATAAATAAATAACTAAAAAGAGTGGTACTTTAGCCCCAAACCTTGCAATCCTCCATCAGAAGCCTCACAGCCAAGCTGCCAGTGTGAGACATCATTTCTCACCTGCTCAGTAGTTAATCATTTTTCGAAGAGCATCGTAGCATTTCCATTTGTCTGGGATGTAGAAAGGCTCGAAGATGTGAGGGAAAGGAGTGTCGTAGCCACATACCCTTGAAATGGGAGCTTCCAAATTCAAAAAGCATTCCTCCTATTAACAGAAATAGAGAGTAAATGTTAGCGGGGCCATTATTTTCGGTCTTCTTGCATCACAAATTGAGGTCGGGTGAACTTTGCCAGACTGACAGTCCTGGAAATTCAAACGTTCTATTTATATCACAGCAGAAGTAGTCCAGACCAGAAGAGTGCTTCCTTTTGCCCAAAGGTCTATATTAAAATAACAACTTGAATTAATGTTATTTTCATTTTCTACATATGTGCCGCATTAAATCATCGACAGGTTATATTTAGTACATCTGCTATACATCCAGACAAGGGCTGCCAAGAAACAAATATTTTAGGAACAAAGGAGTAAGAGTTTCTTTCCTGAACCACTTTTAAACGTATAGAAAAATGACATCATCTAAGAGTGTGTCTTATTTGCTGGATACATGAGCATCATATTCAAACTTCTTAGACCCCTGAGACTGTTAAGAGTCTGTCTGAGGAACATTAGGTAGTTATGGAAATTATGAATTTGGACTCAAATGGATTTGCATCTCTCCAGCCTTTGAGACAAAACCATGCCTTGCACAAAAGCCCACAACTCGTGTGCTGTTGGGGGATCAGACTTGGCAATGACTCTGATAGTTTCATTACTCGACCTAGTAGGGCACAAAATATTACAAAGAGACCATATTAACCCGAAAGCAACCTGTGGAAATACGTGCAATGTTACCAGCTCTAATAACCAAACAAACAGTGGGGTTCCAATCTTCCTGCTCTCAAGTACCAGAATGATGGAATGGACCATGAAAATCTCCAAGAAAAGATGTAGAAATAACTTTGCCAGATCAAACTGATGTCGATGCTAATTATCAGCTCCTTTTCTTCCCGTATCTTTCTCTCAAGTACCAGAATGATGGAATGGACCACGAAAATCTCCAAGAAGAAGATGTAGAAATAGCTTTGCCAGATCAAACTGATGCCAATGCTAATTATCAGCTCCTTTTCTCCCCGTATCTTTATATAGAATCATAAAATCGTGGCTGGAAAGGACCTTTCAGATCACCTGGTCCAACCATCAACCCAACACTGACAAAAACCATCAATAAACGATGTCACTAAGCACTATGCCTACCTGGTTTTTAAATCTCTCCAGGGATGGTGCCTCAACCCTTTCCCTGGGCAGCCCATTCCAACTCTTAATAACCCTTTCAGTGCAAAAATTTCTCACAATATCCAAGCTGAACTCCCCCTGGAGCAACTTGAGGCCATTTCTTCTTGTCCCATCGCCTGTTCCTTGGGAGAAGAGACCGACCCCCCCTGGCTACACCCTCCTTTCAGGGAGTTGGAGAGAGCAAGGTCTCCCCTCAGCCTCCTTTTCTCCAGCCTGAACACCCCCAGCTCCCTCAGTGTCTCCTCACAAGACTTGTATATCCCCATATGTGTTTGCTTTCCTGAGTAGACAAACGAAGAGACAGAGACATGTCTCCTCCTGGCCTCTCCTTTACATTCTGCAGCAACTGGGACATCCTGGCCAACTTCCCCCGCAGTTGGCTCAGCAAAAAGGAAGGTGAGGGATTATCTCCCAGTCCTTTTCCATCAGGAAAACAGTTGTAGAGCTTACGCTTTTCTGCAGCAAAGTGCTAAGTGTTTTCTCAGACTGATGAACTGTTTTGGATGCACGTTGCCTTCCATGGCAGCCTAACTCTAATTTACTCTGTGTCCTACACATCACGATATTTGGCAGCGTAGAACATCCTCGTAACACACTGAGATTAGAACCTTTTGCTCCAGCTAACACTTTGGTGCATTGCAAAGCAGTCTGTTTCTGGAAAATAGATGGAAATAAAAGGTCCAAGAGGTTGTGTGAGTGCATACAGCATCACTACATTTAATAGTGAACTAATTCACCTGGAAAACTTCAGAGTCTGAATAGGTATGAGGTAAAAAAATATGGAATTAATAGAAAGATATTTTTTTTGAGCTCCATTTCAGGCACTCTTTTGCTTCTTTTTGTGAAGCAAAAGTACAAAATCACAGAAATCACAGAATGACATGGGGTTGGAAGGAACCTCTGGAGATCATCTCCTCCAACCTCCTGTCAGAGCAGGGTCACCCAGAGCAGGTCCCACAGGAACATCTCCAGGTGGGTTTGGAATGTCTCCAGAGAAGGAGACTCCACCACCTCTCTGGGCAGCCTCTGCCAGGGCTCTGCCACCCTCACAGCAAAGAAGTTCCTCCTCATGAAAAAGTCACTTATTTAGTATAATATCCACTAACATCCAAAATTCAACTGAAGTAGAAAATTGTTTTGTTAAAAAAAAAGCTTATAAGGGAACAGTTACAGTTAGTCCAATATATCCCAATTGTCTTAATTTCACCCAAAAAATCAGAAAAAGCATTAAAACATTACTTTTCCTGCTTCCCAACTGCAGAGGTCAAATTCTGGCCTCAGTTATTCAACACGACTTTGCCAATTACCTTCATTTGCCCAAATTTCACTCCAAATCTCCTGGAAAATACGTTATTACATTCTACAAAGGCATTTTAATTGGTCACATTATTTCATCGCAACCTTTGATGTTTAATACACATCTAGGAAGACTTTTCAAAATTACTTAAAAGCACAGGTCCCACTTCTTGAAATTCATAGCAATCAGTCAAATGTATCACAGACACCACTTGAAAACAATATGATGCCTCGATTTTTAGAATAGATGCTAAATTCAAGGACTCAATGAGATGTTGCATGATTTTATTTGAAATGCATCCTCTAGTACTGGGTACCCCTACTATTTCCCCAAATTCTAATATTCTAGTATGCTAATATGGAAAACTTTATCCAAGTTTATTTGAGCTTTATTTTAAGTGTATATTTTATCAGAGATTCAGGTACTCTTTGCTAAATCAAGGTTCTCTGTGTAAAATTCTTATAAACATGTATGTACAACTGAGAATTGCAGGCATTTATAGTGGTACACAATAGTACAAAAAGGATAAAATAAGAAAACAAATCCATTACTGGGCATTACAGAAAGCAAACATTGCTCATCCTTCTGTAATGTATAGAAAAACAGAGAAATGTGGTCCAAGGTTTAGGGAAAGTGCTTTTAAGCATCTGGCCAACAAGAAAAAAGTAGAATAAAATAGTCGAGTACTCCCTAAGGTGAGAAAACTTTCCTTTAAAAAAATCAATTATTTCTGCAGCGTTTTATGTCCCAGGGGTCTTTCCCATGCTATTCTTATTTTGCAACACTGCTCAACAAAATTAAGAGCTGCAAGAATAATACATGAGTTCAGAGTTGCTACATGAGAACACTGATTTTACCACTCCTTTTTTCATTACAGGAATTTCCTTTCTGTAGGATGACAAACAAAAAGTCAACTTTAAAGACTAATACGAATACACAGTGTTTGGTTGAAATCTTAATATTTCTTTTGGTATTATAGCTGACATAACAAAAAGAAGACTAAACGTAAGATTAAGGCCCATTACACAAGGCAAACTGTAGGAATATTTTTCATGCAAAACCACTTATTTTTCTGCTGACAGTAACCAGGAATTCTGTGACCAGTTGAAAAGCTTTGATTTAATTGTGGTTTCTGTCAATTAGAACTTTGAATTTTGCCATCTCATCTATAGGTTATAAAATTATAAAACCCACATATATAGTGGAAGAATTTTTCAGAGAGAAAACTCTTATCACTTTAGAGTTTCACTTTCTGTGAATAATTTTACTCTGATTTATTCATGATGTTGTCATAAATTAAAGTGTGGGGCTCAACAGGTAAGAAAACTTATTCCATATCACTTTGTAGATGACTCTTACGTTTCTATATATGGATTCCCCATACAGGTTTTCAACTGTGAATTATGTACTATTGTAAGAATGAGATGAATCCTACTATAGGTTAATAATGAGCACAATGGTCTCCTTTTCAACAAAAACTACTTTTTAAGACAAAACTTAGATAAAGATTGATTGATTTCATGCAACAAAGCTGACACTAAATACAGATAAATGTACGTTTTTGTTGTTCCTGCTTTGAAAAAAATGTCTAATTTGAACAGTTTACTTTCAGAAACTGAAAAATCAAGCATCTGCAGTTTTCATCTGTCTCACAACCCTAGTACAGTACTTTCCTTGACAGCTGCAAGCACCAAATCCTACAAATTTTAAATATAATTTGCTTTGACAACATATTTATGTTACATTCTTATGAACAGTCACTTCTATGAGCTACATAAGTACTATACACCCATGAGATATTTTCAAGTTGATATATACATATATTTAATTTTTTTTAGAGGGAACATTTTTTTCCAACAGCTTAGCCATTTTCTTCTTAAAATACTTTTATAAATCTCTTCCTGATGGTTACAATAGTGATGCGATTTTTCCTCAGAGAACTCTGCAGTTCTGTGTTGCAAATGTTTAACTTCCATCAAAGTTTTCTCCTTTTCGAGATCACTTTAAAACAATCCTTTTATAACTTAGCACAGCTAAGTTTCATTTTTTCATTTATGCTCTTTGTTACCAATTCTCTGAATTTACATAATTAATTTCTTGTCCAATACAAAGAAATAGTTCACTGCTAAAATTATTTATCTTCTGATTACCAAACAGATAATATTTTTACTCACAAAAATACATCAGCAATTAAAAAATACAGAAGCACTTAGGGGGAAAAAAGTCTGTTCTGTGCAATTCATTGGCTTGCTACCATTAAAAAGCAATTAATGGTAAATACTGTCTTTATAGAACTGAATCACACAAAACAGTATTTATAGATGAAGTCACATTTACTATATAAAGTATTGTAACATAAAATGAAAAAAAAATATTTCTAAATAATTCACATCTCTCTATTAAATCCATTATGCTGCAATAAGAATTTACTTCAGTTATTTTTAATCACAAGCTTTGAATCTATTAGCAGTGAATATATTTCTGACCACAGCACTTTTAGAATCCAGATATATATATAACCTAATGCAGAATTTTAAGAGTAATACTTAATCCTGGTTTAGTACTTAAATACTTT